GTCTGTTTGCTGCAGATCTGGGTCTGTTTACTGAAGATTGGTTGCCATTGTGGATTGCGATAACTGATCTCCATACGGCTGCTATCCTATATGTACTCATGTAGGCTGTGTCCTGTGATGTGATCGACAGCTTGTTAGTGTATGGCTAGCACAATCCTGTCCTTAAATAGTCAATCACGTATCGATGGATCAGATCTCAATGGATCAAATCAGCATTCGAACAATGGGAGCAACGTCACGAAATTACCCGTGAGTTTGTGAAATACGAATGTGAACCGAAATTACAATATGATCCGAAATTCGGACAGATGTCGCCAAAAACGACTCCTGTCCGACAGCGAAATCTGTCCGAAATCCCCAATTCGGCTGTCGGACAGATGTCGCTGTCGGACAGATGTCGCCCAATCGGGTTACTGTTAGGGTTAGTATAATAAATATATTTGTTTGGTCAATTGTCGGGGGGGGGGGGGGTCAATTTTCAAGTATTATATCACTTGCACCGTTTAGCTCCACGTGGTTTCTTAAGCTTAAATACTTAACTGTCCTGTCAAGATAAAGTAAATCACTATCACCTCTCATTCTTAATAAGTTAGTAAGCAAGCATCTGTTCATTTTAAAACAGTCACCTACCAATTTAGCAAGTTTTTACATCTATATTACAGTCTACACCCTTCAATAATGAGATAATATGTTTGGCCGGTAGAGGGTCCGCAGTAGTCCCGTTACAGCATTACCTCATTACCTTAGCATTGCTGTACAGTGTACAACTACTATAAGAGTATAAGATATACATCCTTCACCAAAACTGGTTTGTCCGCTTTCTATTACTAATTTTCCGCTGAAAGTGCCACATCAGTGATCAATTAATATTGGTAAATAGCAATAATTTGAGTTATAGGTTGACCTCCCACTTAGAGCATATGTGGGAGGTCAACCTATAAATTACAGTTCGAGCTATTTCCAATTCGTGAATACGAATTTCGATTAAGGTCCAACTTATTAAGTGTCACTTTAACGTGTGACAAATTTCCGATCAAATATCTCATAATCTGAAAATAACTGCATATTTAGAACTATTATATTAATTGTAATTGAAGATTCTTTCAGAATCACTTCATTCACTAAATCTTACAATGTGAACAATGAACAGGTAGAGGCACTGCAACTGAAAAAGTGCTGTCCTCACTACTTAAGAACATAGCAATCTAATCTAAAAATGGCAACCTAAGAACTGAAGTTAAGCAAACAGTTATTTTCCAATAATCGGTTTTTATACATACTTTTATACTCAAACTTATCATAGACCCCGTGTTGGTAACAGTGGATAATATGCAGTGGCGAAACGTACCTAAGAGGCCGCAGCTGCACCCCCCCCCCCCCCATCCCCTTCCGCATAGCAGGGGTTGCCGGAGTGTCGGGCGGTCGTTTCGCCACTGACTAGTGACTGCATGTATAAAAGTATAAACTATAGAGCCATGTAGGCATGTAGCATTCTGTACTTCTGTAGCTTTGCACAAACCAAGTCTCAGTCCTACACCCTACCTAGTAATAAGGTTATACGATCATTACAGTATTCCACATTGTACACTCAAATTATCCAAAACCCCTGCCAATATAGGTTTAATCACGCCACAAGTTGATTCAAATTATCTCAACTTACGCAGGATTTGCGTTAAATCTGCAGCATTCGACTTTATATTTAACGGAAAACCTGCCAAAATAGAGCAAACCTGCCGAGAGTAGGTGAAAGGTGAGGCAGGTTTTGTGTTAATTTTGCAGGCTTTTCTATAAATCAACAACTCGATTAAATAATTACGTGAGATAAATCTCTGCACGAATACGATAAATAGGCAGGTTTTCGGTTAATTTTGCAGGAATCATTTTAAGACTTCAAATTGATTATCAGTCTTAATGTAAAACCTGCCAAATTAGGTGGCAGGTGGCAATGGCTGGAAGGGGCCTAACCTTCATTTGTCGTTGTCCGGATATTATCCAACTATCAGTATTATATTATTGTCCACTTCCTATTGGGAGCGAACTCGGGTGTCGGCGGTTGGTTTTAACTTTTAAGAGTAGCCACCTACCGTCTTATGTACTGACTACTGATACAGTTTTGCTCACGATTTAACATTAGACTTCATTTTAAACTTATATTCGATCTTAAATGCAAGCTAATGACCGATTTGGCTAATGAACAACTTCTTTGTCATTCGCCGCGAAGCCGAAAGACAAATCATATGTATGGTTATTAAAGGAAGGAAATGAAGTTAAGTTGGCGTATTCATTATTAATAAGACGTTTCTTTTAGGCAATGCATAAATCAAGATGAAAAGGAATGTTTTAATGAAACGCCAACTTATAACTTTTGATTACTTTCCTTTGCCTGTCAGCTTAAATATAAATGTTTCCAAGTCCCTATTTATCCATTTCAAAGGTACAATACACGTTCCAGCCTATTTTATAAGGTTTTCCTGTCTTACAGCCACTATTTACCGTTTAGATTTCGAACTCCCTTGAAAGTATGCAATGTATTAGAAATTACTTAGATTGAAAGATGGAGTATTTATATTCGATAAAAAAGTTTGTTTGATCTTATTTCCGTATTTTACTTTACTGAAAAGGATGACTACCGCCCGGACTGCACAACTTTCCCACGACACTAACATTAGGTAATAGGTATGTAATATTGTTGAAAATCAGTTCAAGGTGTTAAAGTACTCCAAGTGTAAAGCATAACTTTACCTTGAAGTTAAAACGAGCCATTACTTAGCTCGACTCTTTAAACAACATTGTAAGTTTTACTGACGGCCTGAACTACAGTGGTGACGGCCTGAACTCAAATGGTTAAAAATTCACTTTACCTAAGGGGTCGTTCACATATTACGTAATCAGCCGAGGGGGGGCCGGGGGGGGGGTTTCCAAATGCTTACGCCAGTGTAATTTTGACACAATAGCTTTGTGTAAAACTGATAACGGAGGGGGGGGGGGTAAAAATTTACTTATAGTTTGAAAAACGCCCGCTTCTCAGTACGACACGTAGTAGTACCAAGTAGACCTACCCTCAAACACATTCAAGGTAAAACTCAGTAGCCTAACAGCCTTCAGAACGTTAAAGAAACATCAATGTTAAAACATTATAAAAGACATAGATAATAAATAAAACATTATAAAAGACACAAATAAAGCATTATTAAAGTTTAACCGCTGGGCTGTTGTAATTAATTTGCGGGACTGGCCGGTGGCCCGTACTAATACCATTCAACGTTTAATCAAAGATGTATGAATATAATTGTAATAATATGAAATATTCTTACGCAGCTTAGGGCACACGGTGTGTATATTTATGATTGATATATCATGATAACTCAAAAAGTAATTTGTATTAAAATCAAAATTTTTAAGAACTCTAGAGCATGAATCGTAAGTACTGCAGGGCAAAGAATAAATATAAATGCCCTCGCATTACCATAAATCCTAACGGAGTCCTCTGAGAAACCTAAAATAGACTGTGAAAATAATATACTAATATATACTAACTACTAATACTAATAGTAATATAGCGAGGTAAAACTTGGGAAACCTAAAATAGACTGTGAAAATAATATACTAATATATACTAACTACTAATACTAATAGTAATATAGCGAGGTAAAACTTGGGAAACCTAAAATAGACTGTGAAAATAATATACTAATATATACTAACTACTAATACTAATAGTAATATAGCGAGGTAAAACTTGGAGGGTCTATTGACTCCTTGACTCCTTGAGCCAGCCGGTATTTAAATCACTTGAAAGTGAAACTGCTCTGGCTTTAATAGCAAACATACTGCAACACAAGGGAGAGAGAGCACGCACAGTCCAGTAATTGTGAACTGTAATGGCTTGTTGCATAGGAGAATGTAATGGCCGGCTAGAAATGTAGTGCAGAGGTACAGTGTAATCAGTTAATAGGTTGTAGCAGCTGCATGTTGCCTTATTTACCGCTGGTAATTTCAGTCGGAAAATGGCTGTAACTAACTGATTTGTTAAAATTATACAAAAATACACGCTGGCAACATTGAAAGAATATCAAATATATGTTATATATATTATGCAAAATTGAAAGAATATCAAATATATGTTTATGCCAATCTAAAATTACTTATTATCTGCTCACATTGAAAATACGCATATTGTGACAATTTAAATAAAATTAGAATGAACAAAAATTCAGCCAGCCTGCTGAACTTCATTGGAAAGTAAAAGTCTGAAGCCACAGATCGACAACTTTCCCGTGCGGCGTGCGATGTCCGCTCCTATAATAGTGATTCGAAAGTCTAGACAAGAAGCTGCGGGACTGTGCTTTTTCAAAACTTGTGCAAAAAATCTAAAAATCCTGCTACAACTAATTAGCAGAAGCACAGGTCAAAGTTTTAGACAGTACGATAGGGCCGATTGAACTGATTTCCTTTTAAGAGCTATAATTAAATATTAATATGATACAAGATGAAGATTTAAATAGAATGAGGTATTTATATAATCCCGCTCTTATGATTAATTAGCAATCCAACAGAAGGAAATTCTATGTAATCATGTTAAAGTGACTGTAAAAGGTGTGAAAAATATTATTAAGTAAACATACTTAATTACCTTAATTACCAACCACTTACCACACTGATAAGTATGTTTTAGTAACCCTAAAAACTTAATAAACAATGAATCTAATTATGATATCATAAAATCAATTTCGTTGAATGAGCTCTAAATTTATTTCAGCATAACCTGATTAAAGTGATTATTGCCTTGGCCTATAAAGTATAATGACTCGATGCTATTAAGTGAATTGATTCGCTTGAATGACTTGTTAATATTAATTATTGTTCGTTGACAGTTGCAGCGTCAACCGATTGCATTTGATTACGAAACTGTTTTCAATTATCACAGAGAAATACAGTTTGGCAAATAAGTTTCCTAACCACGAAGTGTTGTATCATGGCTGATTCTCATCTTATACGTCAGCATGATGTGACACCTAGTTGATTTATGTGACACAACAGCCGATAACTGACAGATGAAAATCGATCCGTACGGAAAAATATTGGCCCGTCTGGATAAATGGAAAGTCAAATCTGCGGTATGTGAAAACTGGTGTTTGAGCCTGTGAGCCACGTTTCAGCTACCATATTTGGTTAATTTTTTGTGAGTTACCAGGAGTTACTAGGTTGCTAGGTTACCTGGTTACTAGGCTGTTTTTCCCATGTTTTCAAATGATACCGGCTATTTTGGCCACCATGACCACTGTCTAGGTTACCAGCACATTATTTGCGGACTTGTTTTACTTATATTAATTCGATATTCCAATTAGCTCTTGGTGCCCCATCTTTTTGCACAAGAACACATTTGCTATTTGCTAATTGTTATTCAGTTATTACCAAACTCAGTTTGATAATTCGTACTTTAGTGTGGGAAACTTCGTGAATCGTGATCCTGCCATATTATCACGTTACAGTGGTGAAACGTACATAGTTATAAACAACATTAAAATCTTGTACTTATACTTCATGGTACCTCAAAAGGGAACAGTTCAGCGATCAAAAAGATAGTAGCACAGTGGCGTAACGTTGCATGTTCGCGCCCCCTCCCCCTCTTAAACTAGAAAGGTAAAATTGACAGCATAGGTGATTTTAAAGGATACGCCGGAAAAATCTCTAAAATCATCATACCTATTTACCTGATATGAATGACCCCTCTTGTCAATCCGCCGAAGCTTTGATCGAAGATTCGGCATAGAGAGAGGCTGGCACTGTAAATAAATTTTATATCAACAAGCTTATCTTCCAAGAAACTTATCTACATGTATTTTTTATCAATAATCGCATACCATGATGACCCGGTTGTGTGTGATTGTTTTTACTTTTTGTGTATTTATTCAATAAAATTATGCACCATGTTTTTTACTGATAACGACTCTCTAACTTTCACATTGATTAATTTAAAGTCACGTCAAATCTATCCACATTCTTGAACCATGAAATATTTACCTCCTCTACCATTAGTGACTCCCCTTAATCCTTTAACATTAATGGTAATCCTACACAGTACACACTAACCTGTCTCAAATTTTACCTAGTATACAGCTCCCTGCCTTCTTCTGTGACGTCATCTAATTTAGGGCAACCTCTCATATGGCACCGTGCTGGAGTTCTTTGATAGTAAGAATTATATATTAAGGGCTGGAATCAAAGGTTGTTCCGGTTGGCTACGGAGGCTTGTGTTTGGGGTGTTTTCATCCGATAATTGAACATAACCAGTCAACCCTTGTGTTGAAACAGTTAGGAGGGTTAGACTAATCTAAATAGATAACTTTGGAAACAGTTATCAAGATAACTGCTCTTTGCAAGTTGAACAATTTTTTAATCACAGAGCATGGCCATACTAGGTATTTGGAGGCCTAAGTAACAAAAGTCTATAGTTTTATACGTTTTTCTTGACGCAAATCTGATTGGTCTGCAGAAGCCGATTAGCCGCAATTTTATGACTATGACCTGCTTAACCAACTATCAATTGTTGACAAACTATCAATTGATTTTCTTGGACGATACCTCGCCTTAAAGCTTCAACACCGGGGTGTCCAGAGTTATATTAATAGTAATGATAATATTTCTATTCGCAGTTGTTATATTAGTCACACACAGTTATTGGTCACATGTTAATTTGGTCACATGTTATTGGTCACATGTTAATTTGGTCTCACGAAACCATTGATCTACAGAGATCAGAACTTTGTCAGTTTTGATCCTAGAGGGATTCTGCATGATAGATGATTGAAACCAAATCAGTAAAATTGGTTTTTATTAATTTACCTTGCTATATGACGACGAGTGTATTCCTTTACTGGTTACCGAGTTACTCCTCCTTGCCACCTCATATAGAAAATTTGTTACATTCAATAGGATAAAGAGACCAAGAAGAATACGTACTTTATTATTTATTGTTATATTTTATAGTTCATTATATTTATAATTTCCGAATTATATTTTATTTTATTTGTGTGTTTTAACGATGGTTTTATAGTATAAGCCATGATGATGATTGATATAATATACCAGATAGAATATATGGCTTTTCTCACAACCCAATAAAATCAGCCATTTAAAACTAACCGAATCAATTATTCAATGAAAGAAAACGGCGATTTTCTGATGAGGGAAGGTCCCCACATAGGTAACTATAGTTACACGTTTCAGAATCTCTCACCCCTACTCCTCCTCCTACTCCTCCTACTACTACTTTTTAACTTTGCATTACTTTCATTAGTGCGGTTTGGCATCTAAATATTGTTGTAACATCTAAATTCTAAATAATAATATTGTTTTGTTTGGACTTCAGTAACGAAGTTATTAATACGACATTAAGTGATTAAGACGTCTACCGTAGATGAATATGTTACAAATATTTTGACTTACAATACGCCGTAATACTGATGAATTTTCTTTGTCGTTTGGAACTTTCCGTGACAAAACTAATTTCATACGGCAAAGCCAAAACTTCACTTATAATAATTGCGAGACACCTTTTGTATAGATATTTTATTTTGATTGTTACCGGGTACTGTAGATTGTAGAAGCTTTATAAGAATATCCCGGTGAAAGTTTCTAGAAAGTTTGTCGCTATTTTGATTAGTGAAAGTTCTGGTTATTATCAAAGAGGTTGGGTGAAACTTACTCCTTAATAGTTCAGGAAGAAAACCTAGTAGTAATCCGTTGATGGCTATCGGCATTATTGAACTCTGTATTATATCTTACAATGCAGATCATCATTCCGCTGGTAAAATCTAGGTGACGTCTAGTGAGACGTTGCTAGGTTACCTGTTACTAGGCAACAAGATATAGGTGACGTCTAGTGAGACGTTGCTAGGTTACCTGGTTACTAGGCAACAAGATCTAGGTGACGTCTAGTGAGACGTTGCTAGGTTACCTGGTTACTAGGCAACAAGATCTAGGTGACGTCTAGTGAGACGTTGCTAGGTTACCTGGTTACTAGACAACAAGATCTAGGTGACGTCTAGTGAGACGTTGCTAGGTTACCTGGTTACTAGGCAACAAGATCTAGGTGACGTCTAGTGAGACGTTGCTAGGTTACCTGTTACTAGGCAACAAGATATAGGTGACGTCTAGTGAGACGTTGCTAGGTTACCTGGTTACTAGGCAACAAGATCTAGGTGACGTCTAGTGAGACGTTGCTAGGTTACCTGGTTACTAGGCAACAAGATCTAGGTGACGTCTAGTGAGACGTTGCTAGGTTACCTGGTTACTAGACAACAAGATCTAGGTGACGTCTAGTGAGACGTTGCTAGGTTACCTGGTTACTAGGCAACAAGATCTAGGTGACGTCTAGTGAGACATTGCTAGGTTACCTGGTTACTAGGCAACAAGATCTAGGTGACGTCTAGTGAGACGTTGCTAGGTTACCTGGTTACTAGGCAACAAGATCTAGGTGACGTCTAGTGAGACGTTGCTAGGTTACCTGGTTACTAGGCAACAAGATCTAGGTGACGTCTTGTGAGACGTTGCTAGGTTACCTGGTTACTAGGCAACAAGATCTAGGTGACGTCTTGTGAGACGTTGCTAGGTTACCTGGTTACTAGGCAACAAGATCTAGGTGACGTCTAGTGAGACGTTGCTAGGTTACCTGGTTACTAGGCAACAAGATCTAGATGACGTCTAGTGAGACGTTGCTAGGTTACCTGGTTACTAGGCAACAAGATCTAGGTGACGTCTAGTGAGACGTTGCTAGGTTACCTGGTTACTAGGCAACAAGATCTAGGTGACGTCTAGTGAGACGTTGCTAGGTTACCTGGTTACTAGGCAACAAGATCTAGGTGACGTCTAGTGAGACGTTGTTGTATTTGATATAGGTATAATGCTTTTGGACACGAAGGGAAACGCACAACGTAAGGCTTGAAATCTTCGTAAAACTACATCATTAGAGGCTAGAGCCTCAAATTGTTTGTTCTATAGTAGTGTTGAAAGTATTAAATATAGGTTATAGAATATAGGGTCTAGTGTCTAGTGTCGACCTGATCCGGCGCCTGTTGCTCTATTTACTTACCTAATGTTCATCTGCTGATCCCTACAAAAAAGTCCTTATGGGGTCGTTCACATATTACGTAATCACTTTTTGGACAATTTTAAACCCCCTCCGTTATCAGTTTTACACAAAGCTATTGTGTCAAAATTACACTAGAGTAATCATTTGGAAACCCCCCTCCCCCTCGGTTGATTACATAATTTATGTGAACTACCCCTAACTATGGTAACTTGTAGTGTAACTATGGTAACTAGTAGTGTAACTATGGAAACCTCCCCCCCCCCCCCCCCCCCTCGGCTATAATATAAGCACATACTGACTTACATTCTTGAGGACGAATGCTCCAATGTTGCCAATTAACTTACGTTTTTGTTTTGCATAGTTATATATCTATTACAATGACATTAATACGATTACCGATTCCTATTATAACGTTGTTTATTTTTATTTAAATGCCAAGAAGAACAGTGCGAATTTTAATTGTGATCAGTTTATCATGCGGGTAATTTTCATTTAAAGAGTCCTTTCATGAAATGAAATGAATGATGCATTGTTTCAATTGTCTTCCTTTAATTATGTAATTATGTAATAGAGTTTATTACGTGCGGATCTGATTGAATTTAAAACTTAGTGTAATTACTAATGAAGGTGTACCTACCCCTTACGGTCGCATGATACGTTTATTGATGCTGTTCACTTGTAGCTCCGCTTCGAAAAACTCTCCGGAAGGTTTTACACGTGAGAAACTACTAAGGTTTACCATGGTTTTGTAATCGATTTGTGATATCTTAAATTAAAAATGAGTCCTAAAGTTTCAGCACATCAAGAGACTATCTTAATTAGGTATTTAGCTTTTCTTTTGATTCAGATTCTTCTTGAAAAATATGTTTTATAATTCATAATACTTTTTTAATAATTCATTCTCTTTTAACCGCGTTAATCTGGGTTTTAACTTGAAGCTTGGTCCTTTGTGGCTCTTCTCAGGCTCTTCAGGAATGCCCATAGTTACACTACTAGTTACCATAGTTACACTACTAGGTACCAAGTACACTACGAGGGCGAAGGTTGAATGATGTCGGAACAATAGAAATAGTTGTAACTCTGTCTCACTAATCATTGCCATGGCCTAACTCAGCAGTTTCCATATATTTATGCGACAGTTCGGTTTTTAAACAAGCTTATTTCATCACTCAAATGGCAGTAAGATACTGTTTGTCATCATGTTTCTAATTCCCAGTTCTAGTTGGGAACTCAGTGTCTGTGTAGATTGACCATAATATTTAGGATTTTGAATGCACAACACCTATTATTTCTCTCTTTCTTTAAGACCACGTCTTGCACTTATCAAGTATCCTCACAGATGTTTTTGGTAGTTTACTATATATGTCATATCAACTAATTGCCGACAATTTGGTTTGTTTATAGTCAAGGAAGAGCACAAAGAGGTTTAATCCTTCCCCTGCAGTCCTGATACACAGCAGGAACCTGGATTACTGTTATCCAGATCTCTTTGTACTGGCTACACTTTGCGTTTCCATGAAAGCTTTACGAAATCCTTTGCTACAATTTTCCAACGCTTTACGAAATCCTTTGCTACACTTTTCCAAATGACCATTAGCCCAACTGGGTCCAGGATAAAGGTTACTAGCCAACAGGATACTGGAAATTAGAAATTTCTGTCGGAAATTTTCTTTATTAAGCACTCTTCTCAATTTACCCCTATAAATTCTTCATATTTTCTTGATGCGCTCCTTGACGTTTAGAATTGACTTTGAAACGAAAATGTTCTTTACAAGTTTGTTGCCCCAGTTCCCTGCATTGTTCGCATCTCACCTGATCACTGATTACAATTATATTACTGAAAAATATCCTTCTCTCTTCAGGTAACATGGCTAGCCTGATAAGGAAGAGAATAAAGTTGCCGGGATACAAGATGGGTAAAGAAAAACGACCAACGAAGAAAGTCAAAACCCAAGTTATCCTCGAACAGGAACTGCAGCTCAGACGCCTGGTGAGTTTTACTTTTCCACATATTTTATTCTATTTAAAATTACAATGTTAAATTAATAGGAGGCTGTGAGGATCAGTGGGAGTGGCCAAATTTTAAATTGAGGAATAGCAAAAATCTCACGCTAGATGTCGAATTTCAACTATCGGTAAAGGTCCGCTATTTCATATCTAACCACTGTTCAGACAATCTATTTAATTAGCACTGCCCTGCTGTCTGTCTTATAAACTTCAGTACTACACCCCATATTTTTATGGCGTTGCCTGTGTACTGTCCTATTTTTCTTATCATGTCATTCGTAATTGGTGATTTATTTGTTATTTACTGTCTGATATAATTATTTTTACTGCGAATTCATCGTGCCAATTATGTCTCCCATTATCATGGGAATATCCTAATATCATGGTTATGATAAATAACAAGATTAATCTGTATAGCAAATTTTTGCGCTCGCTATCCCTTTCTCTTTCTTGCGAACCTTTTGAACCCGTTTGAACATTCCTGACAATTTTTTATAATTTCCCAGTTTAGGACCATTAATTTTAAGGAAATTTTTCGTGGTGACTGAAAACCCTTGACGAAAGCCTCATGATACCTTCCAAATAAAACCCAACTGGAGGGATTCTGGAAACACATGAGTGATACAGGTTTTAAATAACTTGTGTTTATAGTCGTCTTCATGCTTCAGCTCCAGCCTCCAATCAGTGCAAGATAACCGCTTACAAATTTGATATAAACAACATAATAATAACCAGACATTTATGCAGTATTTAAATGAGTCGGACTCGTCAAAACAACAACAGACGATTGGTGAATTGTGACCAGTTTCTCTTACAAAATACAGAAGTGCAACATTCTATCATACTATTAAAATGTTGCTAGTCGTATCAGATCATTGAAATATGCTAGAATGTTTCATTGTTCATTTTACATTGTTTACCTACGTTTCCTGCGAGATTTTTGCACAGATGTGCTATTAAAACATCATTTTACTATTTGATTAATTCTCGTCCGATGGTGCGGAAACGTGTGGTATTAGGTCTATAATGCGATTCCGCACTCATCACATTTATATGTTGCCTCTGGTTACATCGACATTTGTACTTTTCGAACTCAGCTGACAGCATCGTTCTTAAATAGCTAATTTCATACAGAATGACGGATACACCTACTTGCCACAAATCAAAATCAGGCTAGCTGCAGGAGCAAAATAACTAAACTGTAGAAAACTTCTTCTTAAGATTGAATAGTATCATTTAAAGTTATTTAGTTAACTTAGAACTCTGAAGCAGTCCGGGCAGACATTGCTTTGTCAGCCCAAATAATGACAAGTCTGACGCAGAGTAGAGTTTGCGTCAGGTATCTACCGTGTTTGTTGAGGAAAAGACTGTGCCTTTCTAGGACTGAAGGAGATTCTGCGGAATCTGTCGAGCAGGTGCAAGGTTTGTCGAAGCTGTAGCAAAATCTGCCGTTTGTCGGAAATATATCGGTCGTTTATCAGTTAATATTTGTCCTTTGCTGTTTGGGTTGCTTTCATATCATTGTGCGCTTCGAAATAAATAGTTTCTGTGGAATTTCTTCTGAACTTGGATTTAAGGATTCATACTGCTTCTTTGTTATTTATTTAGCACTAAATTCACGCAAATTGCGTTGGGTATAGTTGTGATAATTTCAACTCTATTAATATGCCAGCAGAATCGTTTTTATCGGAGCTAAGCGGAAACTCCCGCCCAAAAATGGAACTTGTGTCCAATAGCGATAATAATTGAATAATTGATAATTGAAGCATAATTAAAACCACAAAGAGAGTTTATATCTGTACGAAAGTAGTAGCAAATTATAGCACTGCTTTTTAAATGTACTACTTTTATAGTTTATATTATTTATTACTACTTCATGCCTTGTTTTTACTGTCGAACTCGATTCGACTGTCATTTTGGCATTGCTCTGCCAATACATATTCTAGTTCAAGATGTATACCAGAAAAAACTCTACGCAATTGAATATTGATCCAGTTCAAATGGTATTTTTGGGCAATGGACTCGGAGAATCGGAGAATCTTTGGGTTCAAACAGTGGACTTTCTTGTTCCGCAGCGAGTATCGTAACGTTCTATACTACCAAATAATATTTTGTATTGTATTGTATCAGATGCCATCGTGGAGTAGGTGGTGTCCTGCACCTTTTCCCCCTCGACATAATGAAAAAACCTAGACATGCAACCTGCAATTCGAAGGTGATTGCAGCCCTTACGGAAGACTATAAGGTCTTCATGCTTATATAATTAAATGATTAAATGATACATAACGATAACTTGTAAACCCCAGAAGTTTCCAGTATCGTCATGAATCGATATACTCACTGAGATTGGTGTCACTTGGCCATGAGAAAAGCTGGGATTGACCGTAAAATTGTATAGAGATAAATGCCCTTCGTAACATTTATTCCTCTGAATTAAAAACGTCGTAGAATGTGAATTCATACTGATTCAAACTTTATTAAATCGTGTTGTGAAGTAATATGGTGTAAAGAGTGCATAATAACGAACCAAATAATAGGTGGCTGCAACTACAGGTAATCTGCATCTATCTGACGATTTACTTCCATTCATACGTTTAAAATTGTTTTCCTCTTAAAGTTCAAGATCCTTAAATCTACCATTTCTTAAGTCGTTCATACCGTGAAATGTTTATTTGCAGCTACTACTAACTCGATACTTCGTTTACAAATTATTCGGTTATGTCCATATTATCAAAGTTATATCAACTCGAAGCTATTCTCTTACTTGAAGCTATTCTCACGTCATGTTGCAGTTTAACACCTACTTTGGATTGTTGCCGTTGTGAATCTAATTCTATTTTAGGCCGTATCGATTACTTTGTTGTCATTGGCGAATTGGTCTTCACATGACCGACTGAAGGAGTACATGTGATATCAGAAGATTGGACACGCTTATGTCACATGGGTAAGCAAAGTGTGTTATCAATGAACTTGTTGAATGTTCATTCACATTATACAAGTTCCATTCGCGTTGTTTTATTTTATATTTAACCGATGTTCAGACTCCATGTTCAGACTCCATGGTCTCATTTACAAGTAACAATAGGTTTTTTCTCGACAAATTTAACTGGTAGTTTGCATCTCAAGCCTGAGAATCTAACTGATTGTATAGATCATAAGCAAGGGCCTCATTCGCGACTAAGTTTATTGATATAGGTATTGGTTAGTACTTTTAATTGCACTTGGTTAATGGTAAGTGAATATCGACATTTTCATTAATAGACAAATGTAGTTCGATTTAGACAGTTTCAGTAAATTCAGACAGTTTTAAAAATAATTTATCAAAGAAAAAGCAACTTCATTCAAATCAGACTGGTGTTTAAAAACTTATGTCATTTTTAAAAAGTCCTTGCAGAACATTAAAATGACACCTGCGCAAATGCGCCGTGAAGTTGGCAACAAAACCAGTGTTGTCAGTTAAATTTGGCAAGTTTGACACAAAATTAAGTCAGTGGAAGATGTAAGATGTTAGGCTTGGTTTGGTGATTAAACTCGTGTGATTATACAATATACACTTTATACAGGGTGTACCACAGAAAGTCTGACTTTTTTGAGAAATGATACAAAATATTATGAAGAAGCAGTTGCTAAAAACTCTTCGTCACATTGTGTCAATATGTGTCGAATTTATGCATACCAAGTTTCAAGTCCCTATCAATTTTTGATTTCTCACAAATTTCTATTCTGTTACATGGTGCTACCTCAGGAACTTATGCGGTAAGTGGACTAGGTAGGGACTAGGCCACCACCGGATAAAATACGCGGAGTATTCTAATTGTTGCGAGTAGAATATAACATACAGCCCCTCCCTGCTACTAGAGTAACATGTTCTAAACTAATTACAGCAAGTTACAAATCTATTGCATTTATTGAGTATTATGAAGTTTTAAAGATATAGCTACTCTACAGCGCTGAACTATGAAGAATTTGTTTCACTTCTAAATGAACAGCTCTAATGTGTTATAGTACATATTATAAAGGTTATAGCTCTAAGATATATGTGTGTTACAATATCACAGCAGTTACACGCTTATCTTACAGGATACTGATAAGGTGTTCTAACCTGTTTGAGAGATAATAGGTTTTCTTAGCCAACGAGTTTAGGTGATATAGAGTAATCAAACAAAACGTTACAAGATAACTAATAAAAACGATATTTTAATTCTAATTTAGGTATCAGCATTCATAATGGCATTTGATTGATTCTCCAAACACACGACGGGTCCTCTGATTGATTCGCTACCAAATCACGTGACCGCTGCAATGAAAATCGTGATCTTACAACCTGACATTTTAATAAGCCGACTGATCAGGAATACGATAACAGAGTAACTCCGGTAAATCATGAGCAACAAACCAGTGACCAGCCAATTAACATCCAGCAAGCTTACCTCGTGCCATTTTCCAGCCTATCAGTAAATGAGTGTCGGGTAGGATTTCGTGGTCTCCTCAACACGACGCCGCTTTATTTCACCTGTGTAGTTACTGATCATGGCTAATTGCTTGGTTTTGCCGACTTTGATCGTAGATAAGACATAAATATGTATAGTGGTGAGTGTCATGATGGTCGTTTAACTTCTAGCATTTTCTTTCTTTAAAATCTCATAATATTAAAACAAGACCAAACGCTTATAAAATTATAATTTATCAGATTCTTTGACGTTTCCAAATGGAGTTGTGCAAGTTGTGCAAGTTGTTTTTATAATTATGAGCTTTGTGTCAGAGATGATGAGCCGTAATGACTTTATCCATCTGTGCAATGCATTCCAGTGGTGAATGCTGAACTAAATGGAAACTACCAACGATATAAGGACCTCCAGCGTCAAATTTAAGGGCCTCCAGCGTCAAATCAAGGGCCTCCATCGTCAAATTTAAGGGCCTCCAGCGTCAAATTAATGGCCTCCAGCGTCAAATCAAGGGCCTCCAGCGTAAAATGTAGGGCCT